ATGTGGTATATCATTCTTTGATTCATTGAGAAGTAGTAGAATTGGTGCATGCATGAGATTGATGCATGAGAGATATATTTATGTAATATTTATATCGGTGAGGTTTTGGAGGATACCTTATGGACTATGTTCCTCTCGGGAGATATTTATGGACATTGCGGTCCCAGCGTATGTAACGCGGCGTATTCCCACGTTACGAGGTTGGAAACTTTCCACCGGGCTTAGAATCCTGGTTAGGGGGTGTGCACACTAATAGTTTGATACCTGATTCCAAAGAGTTTGAACCACAAGATTGGTTCCGTACACGGTAGGAGATATTGGGTCGGAATTATGCCGTTCCCGATAGGGTAAGTCACACTTCTGTGAGACCCTAAGACGTCTACGAGTATAAGAGAAAGTAAGAGAGTCAACAGAGACTCAAGAAATAGAGTCAACAGAGACTTAAGTATGAGAGTCAATATAGACTCGATTGAAAGAAAGAGAGTCAAGAGAGACTCGAGAAAGTAACAAAGAAATCTCCATAGAAAGTACTCTATTTTATATATGAGTGTACAATTATATTGCTGCACTAGATCGCATAAGAATATGAGTATATTGTTGCATGAGATTGCATAAGAATATGAGTATATTGTTGCACTAGATTGCATAAGAGTATGATTATATTGTTGCGCTAGATTGCATAAGAGTATGATTATGTTGTTGCACGAGATTACATAAGAGCATGAGTATATTGTTGCACGAGATTGCATAAGAATATGAGTATATTGTTGCACGAGATTGCATAAGAGCATGAGTATATTGTTGTACTAGATTGCATAAGAGTATGACTATATTGTTGCACTAGATTGCGTGAGAAGCATGATCATAATGTTAAACATGATTGTATGCGAATAGAGTATCGTAAAAGATTGTTTAATGAGAAAACTAACTGGAGATATTCTCTTGAGCACGATTATTTTGATGTAGTAGAAGTTCTACTTAATAAGTTATGTGATAAGAGCGTGATCGCATGTGAACACCTGTTATATGATCTTTAAACATGATCATATCTGTAAGCATGATTTGCTTGATAAGCTATTTGAGAAGTCTACACGTTGATGAATATACGTGATTAGTCTTATACATATATAAGCTTGTCAGTTGTTATTATAGGGTGCAAGCATCTAGAAAGAATACGATAATCTAAAGATGGTTTGAGATTAATTTATTGATATAATGATATCAAATGTTTTCCAAGTACATGCTGGAATGCTTTACAGGGTTGAGTGTGGTTATACTTAGCTTCGTGCTAACGGGTGTTTTCCTGTTTTTCTATGTGTTGCTTGCAAAATGCCTTTCAGGTGGGCCCAGCAGTGAGAGAAGGTCGAGTTAGATTAGTCTCTTAGTTTGAGCTGTCTAAACTCTAGTTCTATTTATGATGTTTTTATGGATTTAGACTTATGACCCTATACTTTATGATGATGTTTGTAGACTGTTTTGGGGTGACATATTTCCCCTTTACTTTTCAGCATTTACTTTAGTACCCAGACTTAATTGTATGTTATAGTTTTACCCCTTTTAACCTGTGCAATCACCAAGAGTGGTAGTTGTGGCGGTGACACCCTCACTACTTTTATCTAGTTTTCCGCTGCTTAATTTATGTTAAAGTCTGTTTAGAGAGATAATTAAGAGTTAGAAAAGTGGGATGTTACATGCCAGTCTTAAGAGAACTTTGCATTCCCCATCCCTTTCACAAATTCCACAATGTATAAATGCTCCAGATTATCAGCGGGTAGCAGATCCTGCCATGGCTTGTCAATATGGGACGGAATGATATTAGGATCAAAGTAGACACGGCTTTTCAAGCTCCACAGACTTGCATGTCCAAAAAAAAAAAAAAAAAAAAAAAAGTTGTGTATGAAGCGAGCAACCAATATGAAAAGCTAAACAAGTATATATTTATTGTATACGGCCCATCAAAACAATGCAAGGACAAATTATACCTTCTGTATAGGTTCTAACTTCTTTCCATAGTCATCAACTGTGAGTTTCTCTACAGTTATACCCGCAGCAAATGGATGGTCAGGAATGCTGCATAGTGTAAGTCATGAGTGGCTAAAATTATCAACCAAGAGAGAATTTATTTTAGTGCATGACATCCTTACCTCTCAGCATCCTCATATCTAATATGTACGTTTGAGATGGATAGCTTCAAATTTACATATATTCTGCTGATAAAAGATCGCAGCCAATAGTGTTCCTTAAAAAATAATAAAAATCAAATAAAATTACAAATACTCTATTTAAAACACATGTTGAAGTGTTTTAGCACTTTCAACAAGCTAGCAAGGTATTACCATCCATATCACAAAAAGGTAACAAACATATAGACGAATTTACCTGTACTGCTGCACATATAAACGATTATATATACTGCACTTATTTAAAGTATTGCATATATGGTTTAGGTTGCTAAATGGGGAAGGAGGAAGAAATCTTATAGAGTTACAGATTTGCCCTCAATCTTAACAGTCAACAAACATATAAATTAAAGGATTAAATTGGGTAAAGAGTGCATAGTTGAGGACTTAATTGGGTAAAGAGTACATAGTTGAGGACTTAATCGGGTAAAAATGATAGTCGATGATTAAATTGATAATTACTGCATAGTCAAGGGACCATTTTGGTTATTTACTCTTAAAAGTATCATCACAAAGAATAACATAATCACATAATAATGATCTCTCAAAAAAACTAATGAAGATAATATAAAATCCATAACTATTTTTAAAATTATTTTCTCATATTGTAATTGGACACCTTATGAGGTGTTTGGTTGGATGAAAAACTTTTTTCAAAAAAAAATATTTTTTAAAATTTGAAGAAAATTAAATTTTCCTCTGCTTGGTCCATAGAAAACTTTTCGAATAAAAAAAAATGCTTTCTTCAAAGAATGAGGGAAAAAAAAAAATTCACTCCTCCTCTTAATATTTTATTTTCGATAGAAAATTTTCAATAAAAAATTAGTAAGACAGTTTCACCCTCTGACTTTTTCAATTATCGTTGTTGTGGTGGTGTAAGGATATACATCCTCGGGAGGCACCAGCATAACCTGCAACAAGCCGTTGTCACGCATTATGGGCCGTATCGACTGACGAGATGAGCGGCTGGATTGTATCAGTATAGCTTCCTAGAAGTGCACTAACAAGAATTTGGTCTTGACGGTACCAAATTAAATGACTTGGATTAGGACGGATTGAGCAGTATCCGAGAATTTGGCCAGTTCCTTGGTGGAACCGTCAACGTAGCCCAAGAGATTGATTATATATATATATATATATATATATATATATATATATATATATATATATATATATATAATTACGTTCTGGTGCGGTTAGGGTGCCCAGGTGCGGTTGTGCGGTTTAATCTAGGCTATTCATCTCGCTTAAATCAACGTCCAAGATTACCAAAAAAATTTTTAAAAAAAACGCGGTGGTAATTTTGTAATTTTTGCATCTATGTCAAAGTTAAGGTGAGCGGTTCTGTGATTAATGTGCGTGAGTTTTGTATATAAGATGCGTAAGTCTTGTGCGTAAGGTGCGTGAGTTTTGTGCTTAATGTGTGCGGGGTTGTGCTTAATGTGAGCAGTTGTTAAAACTTAAAGTGTGGGCTTTTGTGCTTAAGGTGCGTGAGATTTGTTCTTAATGTGAGTGGAGTTTGTACTTAATGTGCATAGGGTTTGTGCTTAATGTGTGTGAGGTTAGTGATTAATGTCAGTAGTTGTTGAAACTTAACGTCTGTGAATTAATACTTAATGTGCATGGGTTTTGTGCTTATTGTGCGTGAGGTTATGCTTAATGTGCATGGTTTTTGTACTTAATGTGCGTGAGTTTGTGCTTAATGTCCGTAGTTGTTGAAACTTAAGGTCTGTGAGTTAATACTTAAAGTGCGTGAGTTTTGTGTTTAATGTGCGTGTGTTTTGTACTTAATGTGCGTAAATTTGTGCTTAAGATATAACACTTAAGGTGTGCCATTTTTAGCTTATGCTTCTTACTTCCAGACACGTGTTTTTTTTTTAATTTTTAAATTTTCATTGATTAAAGCCGTTGATCTAGATTTGATCAAGGGCTCAGATCTAACCGCACGGGAAGCTATACCCGCTTCTGAACCATTCCCTATATATATATATATATATATATATATATATATATATATATATATATATATATATATATATATATATATATATAAAGCTTTCGTAGGAGATTTTAGGCTCTTGATATTATATAGAGTTTATAGAACTGAATGAATTATCACTGTAAACTCAATAACTATAAATAGTGTACAGAGGAGAAAAGACAAATACATAGATGACTAATGTAAGTCTCATATATCCTTAATAATATTAATCTCCATCTCACAAATCTTTATCCGTGAGATAGATCGAGTCGAATCAATATGAAAATTTAATACTTAAAAAATGTAATACTAATTAGTAATAAAATGTTCCTTATCCGTGAGACAGATCGAGTCGAATCAATATGAAAATTTAATACTTAAAAAATGTAATACTAATTAGTAATAAAATGTTTGTTTCTTATCGGGAAAACGTAATATTTTTAGAACAAAATATAATACTTTTACATTTTGATATAAAGGTATTTTACTTTTTTTATCAAATGTATTACAATTTCTCTTATAAATAATGTTGACAATTGTTTGTTACTTGCAAATGTAATAAACTTTTAAAGGAAAATATAATACTTTCAAATCAAAATGTAAAAGTATTACATTTTTTTTCAAAAGTATTACATTTCATCTTGACCCAACCAGCTCAGGGTAAAAAATCGTGAGACGATCTCACACAAATTTTGTGATATTCTAATAATTTCTTTTTTACCAATCAAACAACATAATTAATCTTTCTAGTAATTTTTTTTCATGAAATTTTAATTTCATTCCTCAAATATTTTTAACGAACTAAGCGGGCATTAATGAAAAGCAAAAAAACAAAAAAAAAAAAAAAAACAAAAAAAAAATTGTTTACTCAAAAGTAAGAAAACATTCTTCTTTAGACACTACATGAGCTCATCAACTATTTAACATGGAGTGAATTTTCATTTTCCTTGCAAATATGAAAATAAAATGAAGAATGAAAAACATAAAAATTACTTTATAGAGTTTCAGGATGATTATTATAAAAATGAAGATTCAGTCAGTCATTATACACATCCAGAAGTGGCATAGTTTGTTCCAAACCATTTCATCTGTAGTATGAGTTGAACAGGGCAAATAATAATGTACATGTTGCTGAAGCTTTAACCGAGAACACGAAAATCCAACCAGAACTACGCTGACACAGTGCCCGGAACGAGAACCATAAGTTCACTCCCCGAGGCCACTCAAGATGTCATGCCTCGAGGGAGAACACGAAAATCCAGCCAGAACTACGCTGACACGGTGCCTGCACCTGTGCAAGAACGAGAACCATAAGTTCAATTCCCCGAGGACACCCCAGATGGCATGCCTCGAGGGAGAACACACAAAATAAAATTCGCGGAAGAAAAGAAAACCCAGTGATACAAGAATCAATGATAAAATGAAATATCTCCTAGGATGGCAATAATGTAGCAGATGGAGACTATGCAACTGGAAAGGGCAATCGATGATTCTGCCTGTTTACTTTGTGTAAAAGCGTTGACACAGCGAAAAGACAAGTGACAAAAAGACATCCAACCAAGCATGTGATAAAACCTCTGACTTTAAAGTTTTAGAATCTTGAAATTCAACTGCACAGTCATATCAAAGTCTAATGACACTGTAATGGAGCAATTCCCTAGTTCTGTTTTCCCGCAGTTGAGAGACCAATTAACTTGACTGAAATAAGCGAATTTCAGTTAGCTCTGGACCGAACAACCAAGCACAAAGTGGACCAAACAGACTCTGATACTATGTTATAATAATTTAAGATTGGGTCAAGGTTACTCAACTGATGCACATGGGCTAAACCACATTAAAAAATTGAATCCAATCAATTAGCTAGGCTAACCCGTGACCTTATAAACCCCAAACGAAAGCTCTGGACAGAACAAGCGAGCACAAAGTGGACCGAACAGACTCTAATATGTTATAATCTAAGATTGGATCAAGGTCACTCAACTGGGCTATAATGCACATTGGCCAAACCACGCTAAAATTAAATCCAATCAATTATCTAGTCTAACCTGTAGACTTATAAACCCATATGTTCTCTCTTTACTTTTTTCAATGTCGGACTCTTAATCGTAGTTAATGCATAAATCAAAATGTACTAACCAGCTTCGCGTTCTGCTCTCACTTCCTGGTCAGTTTTCCAAACAATATCCTTCAACCCAACTGATAGGTTCTTGTAGAACTGCAAACAAAGAGATAACACCAATGTTACAATCGAAGATATTTCGGTCATATTACTATTTATTTATTATTACTTTTTCATTTCTTAAACCAACCTAGGGAATATTATTCATTTTGTATTATTATCTGCAAACAGAACAATAAAATAGTATTCCTTTTCCATTCTGTATGAAATCTTGTTCCAAATCCCCCTTTGTTTCCATTCGATGAACCAGACCACATTGTAATCTTTGACTGATGATTTTGTCTACTAATACAAACAAGGCTAAAATAGTATGCATTTAGGTATGCTTAGCTGCCATGCATGAATGAATGATGGCACCTAATAAGTGGCAGAAACTAGACGAACCGAAATACGGGACTAGCTACAACGTAACCCCCCGTGGGTTATACGAACTTTTCTTTGTAATCCTAACTATCGCTAATCATGGCCAAAGAGAAATTATAAAATGCTGCACCTGGTGAAATTCTAAGGTATCTCCTTCGGCTTTTCGAAGCTCTACCATGTAAAGCGAAGGGGCCACCTCAAAAATCTGCATTGAGTTTTAAGTTCGATTTCAAATAATCTAAACAAATATCGGAAAATCATCAAGATCGAAAGTGTGCAGTGAACAAACTTACCTCTGTTGCAACGGACAAATTACCCTTGCGACCAGTCTTTTCCCCAGCAAGCCTTAACTGGTAAAGATAAGGAAATACTACATTAGATAATCACCGATATGACTACTAATTAACCAAATTTAATTTTCTCATGTGTATCTTTCCCTCGGGTAATGTTTCACCATGGTAACCAATAACCGCTTATTCAATTTTCTCATCAAAATGTTTAGTTCGTGCAAAGCTTAGAGCTAATAGATCATATGTTTTGGAAGATGGAAAGGCATGGCCGGTGGAGAATAACAACCACCCGTTAGTTAGGCGGAAGCAAAGATGAAGAATCAAGGAATGAAAATGTATATAAGACTGAAAGATATAGAAAATATATGATTCTATATTATCTCTGTTTCTAACAAAGAAACATAGTACATATATATATATATATATATATATATATATATATATATATATATACAAACACATAACTGTAAGTACCTATCCATAAACTGACACCTATTCATAAACAGACACAACCCTATAGATAAACCTAACTCTTTATTTTTCAACAGAATTAAGATGAGACACAAGAAAGTCGAGGCATATAAACACGACCATACCTTATAGTTATTCTTCCTCACATTGAATCCCAACGGTGCAACGGTTTCTTCGATTTTTGAGATTATCTCGCTGGCAGGACGTTTGGATGTAAATCTAGTTTCTTTTTTAACAAGCCCCTATTCAGAAAAGATGGTCAGCCAGATTGCAGCTCGTCATTAAACAACGCGAAATATGAGAAACAAATAAAATTTTTACAAAAGAGTTTGGAACTAAAGCAAGTAGCTGGACTTTGACATTATAAGTTCCAAAGGGCTACCATTTGCTTTTCGAAAAGAGAGCTAAGATTGAGGCCCTGAGATTTAGAAATTAGTTCAAAGGCATTCATAGACAGTGGTGCAGTAGACCGTTGTTCTAACCGTCTCTCGACAACAAGATTTGAAGCGTCCTGTTTCAAAAGAGCCGTTATATAAGTGATGTTTTAAAACACCATACATCGTCTAACATTACCACACTTGCTGCCAATAAAAAAGTTTATAAAAATACCGCTGATTCATTAAAGATCGCATTCACATCATCAAGATTAACATTTTCCTGCTCAAAAACTGGCGGCTTATAGCCCTTCTTGAACCAATCATTCCCAATGACCTCAGCAAATGTCATACGCTGTTCCAGACAATAAAACTAATCAGTTCCACAGGTAAAATTCGGTAGTGAAAAAAAGTAACTAAAGCGTATGTGAATTGAAAAAAAAAAAAAAAAAAATGGACCAGAAGAGAAATGCAAAATTTTGCTGAAAGGAATTATCTTTGCATAATCTCGATTTTCCTCCTTTCTTAAGGGGCATAAAATCAACATACCGTCTGAGGATTGGGGTCCAGGATTTTTTTAATTAGTTTCTTTGCGCTTGTGGAGAACCATGGTGGACATGTAAAATCAGCCTTCAATATCTGCAAAGTAATGAATAGTAAAAATTTTATGGTTTTTTTTCAGAATTGTGTAAAGTGTATAGTACTGAGCAATTTCAACAATCAAGGATAGACATAGAACATACATAACTGGATAAAAACAAGCATTAAATTAGAAAAGTGCAGCTCAAATAAATATATAAAAACTAACACATCCAAACCTTGCGAGGAATGTTCCTCGAAGGCATGGTGAACAGTGATTGCACATCAGATTAAGATGTGAGATTATGTATATCTATTCTAGGCTACAAATAAAAATGCATCATGGGGGTAACCCCAGCCAAGATGGCTAAGGATACAAACTGTTAGCCACAAGGTCACGAGTTCGAATCCCAGCCTTCTTTGTTTGAGCCGGTCAGCTATGAACAACCTAGATTGGTTTACCTTCTTGTGATTCTTTGCCAGCTAGAGTCACAAGACGGGATTTACCCAGTGCACACCCTCGAGTAGTGGCTGTGGGTTTAATATTGGTTTCCAAAAATTAAGCACTTCTATATTCCAGTCACATCTTGCCAAAAAAGAATAAATAAAAATTTAATGAAACTTCACTCTGTAGGTCAAATATGTTAACAAAGTTCGGTAATATTGTTCACCTTTTTATATAATGCCATAAGATTAGATTCTTCAAAGGGTAAATAACCAGCCATGAATACATAAAGGATCACACCACAGGACCAAAGATCTGCCTGCGCTCCATCATAGCCTTTATTGTTGATCACCTTGCAAGTACAGAAGCAAACAGTAGGGAATCAAAACCAAACTCTTGAAGGGCAAGAAACAAAGTTATACCAAAGCTCGTGTAAGTACCTCAGGAGCAACATAGTTTGGCGTCCCACATTTTGTGTGCAGTAGCCCGTCTTCCTAAGAAGAGATATAAACGGAATCAGCTTCAAATTATAAAAATCAATACATTAAACAGAGTAATTTTTATTTTTTATTTTTAAATAGATGTATTATCGCGACACCAAGTTTGGCAAGAAAGGTTAAAACGCACCCGAAGTTGCTGCGGAAGAGCACTCAATCCAAAATCTGAAACTTTGAGAAATCCACTGGCATCCAGCAGCAAATTCTCAGGCTATAAACACAAAACGGCCAAGATTACAACAGGACTTTGTAACCATCCTGCCTCGATCACTGTCAATTTTTCCAAACCGAAAAGAAGGGAAACTGGTAATATTTTACCTTGAGGTCTCTGTGGCACACACCTCTACTGTGACAGTAGTCTACTGCATTGATTAGCTGCTGGAAATATTTTCTTGCTTCGTCTTCTTTCAGCCTTCCTTTACTAGCCTGGTTATAAAAAGAAAAGAAAGACAAAGACATTGTTTTTATTGGATAGTACAAGAAGCACCGCGTATAGAAGATAAATGCAAAGAGAGAGAGAGAGAGAGAGAGAGAGAGAGAAATCATACAATTTTGTCAAACAGTTCGCCACCGGTAACAAATTCCATAACAATATATATCTTTGTCTTGCTAGCCATTACCTGAATTATTCGAGTAAATAGAGAGATCACAAACTAGTTCAAGACATATGGGATAAACCAACTAAAGCACAAGTTGCTCAACATGAACTAGCATTCAAACTTCCAAGTGTAACCTAGATCTACAACATTAAAATTAATAAGTTCTGTTAAGAGTCCCACATTGAAATAATAAGAGAGAACATATGGATTTATAAGGCCATGGGTTAGACTAACTAATCTTTTAGTGTAGTTTGGTCCATGTGCATTATAGCACAATTGAGTGACTTTGGCCCAATCTTAGATTATAAGATGGTATCAAAGCCTGTTTGGTCCACACTTTGTGTTGTTGTCTACACGTGGTATTGGTGGCGTA